GGGGGGAAACCAGGGGAGGTCGACAGACGAGCGACCTATACAGCGGGACGAATGGCCCAAAGGCCATAGAGCAGGATGGGGTGGCAATTGGAGGATGAGGTGAGGGAGGTGTGATTGATTGATTGATTTGATGTGAAGGTTAGTGCCGGCGTGAGTGAGCATGGGCGCCGGTGTCTGTGCCTGCAGCACCTAATTAATGCTATGATGATGATGAATCTGGGTTTATTCTATGACAATGCGAAAGCGCCGAAACTCGGCGATTGGCAGTAGATATATATTGAGAGTAAGTGACAGACAGACAGTTGGGGAGAGAGAGGGAGAGGGAGAGAGAAATGCGGAGAGTGAGTTGGGTAGTAAGGGTCATAGTAAGAGTAAGAGCAAGAGTAAGAGTAAGACTGAGCGTGAGGGTGAGGGTGAGAGTGACGGTGACAGTGTTAAGAGATGCAGTAAGGAGACTTGCAAGACACCATCGACCCCGACGATGAGATTGACAGCAGCGACGACGACACGATAACAAAATGACGATGGGCAGTCGAGAAAGGGCGTCGGTCCCAGGGGCTCAGAGACATGCAGGATTGCAGGTAATGAGGAAACACTCGGACCAAGCTACGGCGAATTGCTGAGCACCTTAACGATAGGTTGTCTCAACGACTCACCAGATAGATACCTAGGACGGGGACGGGGAGGGGGGACAGAAGAGCGTGGAGGCGGGGGCTCGCGAGGTCTTGATTGGCTCGAGGGGAATCAGAGGATGAGACTAGGAGCAAAAAAGAGGAAGAGGAGGAGCGGGATTGGCCCCGGCTAGACACCACACTAGGGAGAAAGGGGCCCCATGCGCGGTGCATCCTCGCCTGTAGCTCTCCGAGTCCCCCCTGCAACCCTGTTCCTGGACTTGTCCATCTTTGGTCTAGTCTGAACGCGCGATGCAAGGGACCGGATCCCGGTCCTGGCTGGTGAAGTGGGGCTACTGGGTGGGAGATGGACGGCGGGATGCAGCGAGCCAAGGGGGAGGGGGGGAAAGGCCGTTTGGGTAGCCGTTGGTGTTGGTGTTGGTGTCGGTGTTTGGTGCTATGGTATTGGCGTCTGTTGGTGTGCTAAGGGAGGTCGTAGCGGTCCGCGCAGGGGGACTAACAGCCGGTTCCAAAAAGGGATATGGACGGGCTATTATTTGAGGTGCTAATATGGCAGAATAGTGGACGAATGGGGGAGAATGGGGCCTCATGTGTCATATTCGGTGTGGCGCTCTCCTCCTCCCCTTCGTATCCTCCCCATCTATTCATCACAACCCAAGTCCATCGCCATACCGTGATACGGACAAACAGAGTTATCAGATCAGGTAATATATGTCTTGTATCCGTACGGGTAGGTAAAGGGTGCTCTACTGTAACACGATGAACAATGTAGACCAGAGTACAGAGTACAGAGTACCTACCTACGAATCCACCTGCAACGGTAACTAGGTATCTAGGTACCTAGGTATACTACCTGTGCACTAGTGGGGAGAAGAGAGGCAAGGGGGCGGTGGAGTACCTACCTACCTATCCGTACCTTAGCTATACCTAGCCGGAAATACCCACAGTGTTTCTGCGCAATCTGAGGGGGGAAAAGCAAACGTCCAGACCGGATCAAACCAAAATGCAGGAGCGTCGCGCAATGCCCAATGGCCAGTGCGTGCGTGCAGCGCAATGCAATGTAATGCAATGACAGGATGCATGGGCGAGAGGACGGAAGGGGAAGCAAAGGGCCAGAAGTCGTCCTTCTTTCTCCCTATCGTTTCTTGACTCCCTCCCACCCTTCCTTGCTTCTGTCCCTCCTCCCTCCTCCTCCTTCTCCCTCTTTTCCAGAGCAGCCAGAGAAAGAGAGAAAGAGGGCAACTGCCGCGCAAATCAAGCACGTCCTTTCCTTGACTTAGTCAGCTGTCCAAGCTCGAACACGCGATGAACGGTAACATGGACGGCAACGGCGAGCCATGATGGATCAGTCCACGTAACACAGTACGTACCTTGAGAGTCCGCCTGACAGCAACAGGAGCAGCCTGCAGGTGCAGGTGCAGGTACAGGTGCAGTCAAGTGCAGGTGCAGGTGTAGGTGCAGGTGCAGGTGCAGGTGCAGGTGCGGCTTCGCGCACCTGCCTTGCTCGGCCGAGCGCGGGTAAGCTTAGGCACACCTAGCCAGAGCCACTACCAGAGCCACTGCCAGAGCAGGAGCAGGAGCAAGAGCAAGAGCAAGGCAGCCCGAACCCGGATGCTCCTTCCGGCGTCATCTTCGTCTTCATCGTCATCACGGCACATCTCCCACATCTGCCGCTCTTTCCCTCCTTCCGTCCGGCACTCGGCGCGAAGAAGAAACTCTCCTCAAAACAAACTATGCGTCTCACACCAACCCCAAACCAAAAACCAACCATAAAAAACCAAAAAAAAAAAAAAAAAAAAAAAAAAAGTCGACCAAGCCGAGACAAACAGAAAGAAAACATGGTCGTCCAAGACAGTCAGTCAGGCAGGCAGGCATACCCTTCCCCTGTGACGGATGACAATGACAGACACCATCCGTCTCTGCCGCCACATTGTCGACATGCCGCCTCTTGATCGACACCGCCCCAAACGACCCCTTTCTGCCACCTTAGTCGCCGCCATCGTCATCTCCACCACCACAAGTGTTTGATCTGAGGCGAGGCCTGGTCTGGTCTGGTCTGGTCTGGAGAAAAGCACCGCTTTCGCTTGCCGTCATCGTCATCGTGGGACAAAACAGCTCCTCCCATTGCTAGGCGAGCTCGCATCCGCCACGCAACCCCAACAAACCCTGTCTCATCTGTCGGCTCCTCGAGGCTCCTCGAGCTTCCTCCCGTCCGTCACTTATTCCTTGTTCAGAACCAGCAAATGCGCCAAACGGACGCAACTCATCGCTGCCGAATCAACCTCGTCTCAACACCAACGCCAGCCGCCTCTCCTGCGGCGGCATCCGCAACGAATCGCGAGCTAAAGACTGGGGTGCCGCTCTCTCATCAGCGGGAGCTGGCTGTCTCCCGCTCCTTCGCTGCATGTCTCCGTCCTGCCGCTCTGCCCCCCACCAGATTGCTTTTGTACGGCACCGATACACACATTCGCTTGCATCCGTACCATTATGCTTGTTGCATTAGGCCAGGTCCCTGGTTATTACAAGAGACTTGAGAAGTAACGACTCGATTGAATGATTTGATAAGCGCCAATGCGCTCATCCCCCCCCCCCCCCCCAACACACACAGAGACAGAGGGCGTGTCTGCAAAATTCCCGATAGGCTGGCTATCTAGGGACTCACTGTACCAATCTGTCCCACCGCCCGCCTAAACATCGCGTCGACCGTTGCACTAGATGGTTAGCAGAGTCTTGCAAAGCACCCCTACAACGGTCCGAAGGCTCTCAATAGCCATGGTCCGAGTTTTGTTGTTGGCCATCACCAGTTCGAGTCCATGCAAAGTTGCACATCGACTTTTCGACCGGGTCCGCCTTCTGCCCGTCTCGTCTATCTCAACCTCTGCAGGGAAAGGCGTGGCGATGGACAAAGCCCTGTCTGTCCTGTCCCTTGGACCCCTTTCTTGAGTCTCGCCTGGCTTACAACAGGGGCGCGCCCGCTCACCGCTTTCACAATCTCGCCAACCGTGTCTGGTGGTCATTTGGTTCAGCCTCAAGCCGCCCGAGGATACCGGCTGCTCTGGTGAAGGTGTGTCTCGTCTCGGCCGCGCCATCCGGAATTCAAGATGCGTCCATGTCTAGTGCCCGATGCCCCCTTAGCCCCCTGATCTATACCTACAACCCGCCTCCCCCTCCCCTATTTCGAGCTTCACTTTTTGCGGCTGGCTTCTGGCTATCATCATTTGTGGACAGCAAGGTCGTGTGATATAACACGGAAAGCGCCGTGCCCATCTCTCAGGCTCACCTGCCGTAGCCCTTTCATGATGGGTCTAGACGACCGTGGCAAATGCCCAGTGTCTTTCTCTATTGTAGCACTTGCCCCGTCGGTTTGGCCCAATTCCGTTGGCAGCATACCTTACTTGGGGCCTGCGCCTATTCTGCGCATCCCCCGTGTTGCCATGCAACTTCCTCCCCGCGTGTTTCCTTGTGGGGGTGGGCTGGCCGGGTTTACTCTACTCCAAGTCGAGCAATTTCCTCATGACTGAGTACGGAGTGGAATGGGCTTCTCTTATCTAACCCTGGCTTCCAGTCATCGACTGCTCGTTCGTGCTGAGCCACGGTGAGTGACCTGAGATTATAGGGCCATTGACTTACTTGATGGCACTCGACTGCGGCAGCACGTGTCGTTGCCTGGATATGTCTTTGAACAATCTCCCTCAGGGAAGCCCAGATTGACCCATGTCTGTAGGTATAATCTTTGTCTTCATCCGTCAGCGCACTCGCTGTCAACTTCACGATCCATGGAGATCCACAGCTTTACTCACCGGTTGCCCTGGAGTGATTGATTATTGGTTTCATCGGGTGGACGGCGATCACTTGAGGCTTTCCCACTCGTCCCTGGCTAACCAACCAACTAACTGGTTGATGCCGGTCTGTCGGGAGCAGGACAGCGACAATCTTTTCTTCGCACGCCCCCCCCCCCCCTCCCAAGACCAAGATTCGATGAGGGGCAACTAACTCAATATTCACACAAAACTCTCTTCCCCCGGCTCATCCCTCCGGATTAGCCGTCAGCTTCTACGCCCAATCAAATCCCTGGTCCTGACGCTTTTCCGTTTGAAGCGGCGATCACTCAAACCCAAGCTCTAAACCAGTTGGATGGAAACGCACACAAAGCTTACGGTGGGTTTTGACGAAGGGGAGGTAACCCTTCATCTGGCAAGTGAAGCGAGCGAAGAGGCATGTTTACAGGATAGAACTTGCACACAACACGCACGCAGAAAGCCCCCCCTCCCCAGTCTACGTTGCCAACCCGAAGAGACAGGATAGCTACTGTTTATTCGGGCAGCAAAGTTTTCTGCCTGCCGGATTCCATGGCGATCCTAGCCCAGGATCAACCTTAATTACGGAAGCCAGAGTGCCCTGGCTATTTCGGTGGTGCACGACGGATTGGTATTCTGTGAAAGACCAAGAAACCCCCCTTTGGCCGACCCTACTGGCTTTCCACCATCGAGATTAAGCGTGATTCCCCATTGTGACCAACGTTGCATTGGACACGTGGATGCGAGGGCTTTGACAACAGAGCGATGCCATGTCTCATTAATGACGAATGCCAAAGATTGAAACAGGATCAGAGTTTACTCGCATCCCCGCCTATCCCCCGGACGTTCATACCTAGTCCCCGGGCACTGCATGATAGTTAGCGGCCTAGGTCCAGATAGCCCAGCATAGCCGCCGCAGATTGAGCGTGTCGCAGCTTGATTGACTGGGACGTCAGCAAAAGGAGCTCGGCCACAGTTCATCTGATGACAACGCTGAATAAGCCGGGCCGTACCCAGTCATCAGAAGGTTTCTGTTTTGGTCCGATGGTCTTTGTGATGTAAAGTTTCCGTCATCTTGCTTCAGTATTAATCAGAGCATGCCTAGACGACCCATGGGGAAAACGAGGGATAATTCACGGTTAACGAACAATCAGAGCTTGCCGGCGGACGGGGGCGAGTCGTTGATGGATCATATCGACTGAGGACGGCAAAAAAGCAACGAGAGTCGACACGGTTGGGACTGCGCACATGGCTGCGATGGAATGACGGACTGATGGTTCTTGTCTCCCGCCCGCCACCGGCCCCAGCTCGAAGGCAAACAAACACACCATCACCGTGCATTGTGGGACGAGACTTCCAGCGCCATCCCATCACCGGTCCCGGCATGAACTCCACGCTGTGTACTCGTACCTGCTTCGCCCTGTCCGGCTTTAGGAACAAGAAAAGACGTTGCCACCTCCTCGGAACGATCAACGGCACGCGGTTCAATTCTTCGAAACCACCAAAAAAGCCTTGGGTAGTGGGATCCCTGACGTCAGACAATCTGGGTAAAACGAGCCCAAAATGAAGTCCTCTCCACACCCTAAACTGGTCAGAAGAGTCCCCAGAGACTCCGGGACATGTAACGGCTTTGTTATTACATCAGGCAACCCGCTCGGCGTCGTTGGCGGATTGCCTCTGGCTCTGCAGTCGTGCCGTTCCCCGATGCGGCCAACTATACTATAGTCCCACGTCACACCCTTTGCCCCGGCGCGCGAACAGGGGCGATGTTATCTCGCTTCCGCACGGCGCTGGACCAGCCCAATCTCCGGCATCTGCACCTACTTAGGCCGCCACCCTGGGGCGGTCATCCAGCAGCGCGGGCCAGCCGCCTGCACGCGAGAGAGCATGACATACATGGATGGGGATGGCGTTACAGATACAGACCTTTTCTTCCCTTCTCTGGGGTTGCAAGGGGGAGGGGAGGGGGGACGACACGTTCTAGCCCTCTACTCGCTGGCACATGTTGGAAACCCAGGACGTAATAGTCGAGGCGACAACATTCACCGAGACAGTCGCCCCTCAACTGCTTATTGTCCCCCCCTCGTTTGGGGCAAGCAACCCAGGACGACGGTCTGCGCTGGAATTTGGCCTCCCTTGTCACGGGGGCCAACAGTGGTTGCGTGTCTGCGGTCCTGTCTTGCATCGTCATCTTGACCATGAACTCTCAGGGCCACATTCCGCGCTAGTCTTCCTAGACGGGCTTGCAAAGAAGAGTACAGACGACATACATCAGATGATGCGCGAGTGCTACAGCATTTGGCTTACTACGAGTCCGTAGGACAGGGCGAAAGGGTGGCATATTACAGCCCACGCGCAGCAGTTCATGCAAGTGCGGGGGGTACGGCACAGGGGCAGGGGGGGCGAGGTTGGATATTACCTACTCCTTTGCCGTAGGTATTGTTTACCAAATTTCCCTGGATGAGTCGAATCAACGCGGTGGGCGGCGCGGTTCGCGTGTTGCCGGCTGTTGGTATCTTTCTTCTTTTCTTTTTCTTTCTTTTTCGCGGGGTAAAATTCAAGTTACAGGTCTTCTTCACAAATGCCCCCCGTCCCTCCCCCCCCTTTCAGTCAACCACGCCGTCAGCCGCAAATTGACCCTGTTCGACCAGCAAGCCTTGAGGGATTGGGAATGTGGAAGGGCGCGTGCGTCTCAAGCCATTCATCCCTCTTTGCCGTGACGTCGGCAGAAATGTCGGCGGCGGCGGCGGCGGCGGCGGCGGCGACGACTTGGATCGGTGGTGAGTCCAAGTTGGGGGTAGGCTAGACGTGAGCCTCGACTCTTTCAACACCTGTCAAAAGAGCAGGAGGGGGAGGAGGACGATGTTAGGCGCCGCTCACGGCACATTGACCGGTGGATCTGACGGTGGGATATGCGTGGTTCATCACGCATGGTCGTGGTGTGGCCAAGCGGTGATTGGCCGTAGCGGCGGTTCGCGTCGCGGGATGATGCACATGGTGCCGAGGTGACATTGGAGGGGCATGCGAAGGCGCGCCGATGAGACGTCGATGAGGAATCGGCGGTTGAGTCTCCTTCATATTGGTTTTCTGCAATATAGTGAGACCCGCCAAGGATACGTGCCGGCGGGAGGGGAGGGGCCGAATTACGATGATGATGATGATGGTAGTACGCCGGCGCCGGTGCGCTGGTGCCGGAGGCCCTCCGGCTCCCCCCCCCCCCGGAAGGTCGGGCGAGGGGGTAGGCGAATTTCCGGGCCGCTGACGTGACAATTGCGAAACGTCCAACTCATTGAGTTTTCATCTTTACTGCGTTACAGGAGCCATTAGAGATTGCTTGAACCGCTCTAAATATATAAGACTTGGAACGTCACATTAGAAATGGCTGGGGTTCCAAAACACTCTCCCTCCCCTCAGTCAAGCCCGGCCAAGACGCCCTCCGTCCACCGCCACAGCTCGCCCGCCAGCTCGTCGTCCGTCGCGAACCGGTCCAGCTTGTTGTCGGCCAGCCTGCCGACCGGCAAGTAGAAGCCGCCGCTGACGAGGTCCCCCCTGGCGGCGGCGGTGGCGGCCCAGACCTGGCTCCAGCACCCGCGCTCCGGCGTGAGGATGGGCGCGCCGGCCATCTTGTTGGGCACGTGGACGAGGAGGCGGTTGAGGAGGCCCTGCTTCGCGACGAGACCCGTGCCGACGGTGCCCGGGTGGACGGCGACGGCGGTGATGGACGGGTGCAGTCGGGCGAGCTCGCGGGTGAAGAGCATGTTGGCGAGTTTGCTCTGTCTGCGAGGGAGGGGAGACATGCTAGCTTGTCGGCTGGTATCCTTATTCTCTCTGTCCGTTGCCATCACATTATTGACGCCGATTAGAGACTGGGCGCGCCTTCATGCTTGAGTACAGGAGTGAGAAAGGGGGGGAGGGAGCACGCGGTAAAAAAAAAAAAAAATCCCACCCGTAGCGAGTCCACTGCCCCAGGATCGGCGGCCCGGCCTGGGTGGTTCGCAGCGTCGCGAAGGAGATGCCGTCGGAGGGGTGGCCCTGGTAGCCGACGGAGGTGAGGTTCACGACGCGGACGTCGGAGCCGGGGAGGGCGGCGGCGCGGCGCAGGACGGGGAGCAGGGCGCGGACGAGCATGGCGTGGCCGAGGTGGTTGGTGGCGAACTGGATCTCGTAGCCGTCGGCGCTGAGGCCGGCGGGGCCGGCCATGATGCCGGCGTTGTTGATGAGCACGTCGAGGCGGTCGTGGGCGAAGGAGGCGGCGAGGGCGGGCTTGATGGTCGCGAGGGAGGCGAGGTCCATCTGGACAAAGGTCAGGGGCGGCGGCGGCGAGGACGAGGAGGCGGTGACGGAGGCTATGAGGGCTTCGGTGGCGGCGAGGGAGCGGCCGGAGAAGTAGACGTGCAAAGGGTTGTGGGCGAGGAGGGCGAGGATCGTGGCCTTGCCTAGGCCTGCTGTGCCTTTGGGGGGCGGGATTCGTCAGCTCTGGTTCTCATTTCTGGTGGCTATAGATGACGGTCTCAAGTATGCAGTGGCAACGAGGGGTATACATGCGAGGTGTCGGCCAGTGGTGTCAGACATATCCAACTTATATAAATGCAAATTGTTTCCTTGGCCTATTTGTGAGACGCGCTTGTAGATATGGGAGCGGGATGGTCCGGACCCGGGGAACACGAGCTTCTTCAACTCGGCGTGGAGCAATTGCGGCACCGCTAGGGGCCTCTGGGTCTATACCAGCAGCTCCTTTAGTGGTGATTCTTTGCGGCAACAGTCTGTGAGGGTTTGTCCAACTTTGATCCATTGTCCGTCGACAGGTGGATGCTTGATGTAAAGTGCCATGAAAGGATTGATTGGTGAAGCGGCGCCCAAGAGGTCCAGATTCCGAGTCGATATCTCTCTTGATCAACCCATCCAACACTGTAACTGCTCTTGAAAAGGGAACTCGGGGTGTTTGCGATGTACCAAAGACTTGCTGATCGCGTCCGATGTCCTCTCAACGTAACGACAGACACTGGGCGACTGGCGAGCATACCTGTCCTGGTGCGAAGAATGCGATGGGCGACTGGGCCTCGGGGGGGATACATGTACCAAGAAAAGCGAGGTAACAACTGAGACAAAGGGGACCTACCACCAGTGACGAAGATGACTTCTTCCCTCGAGTGAAGGAATCTGAGGCCTCGGGTCCACGAGGTCCTTCTCGTAGACGAAGAGGACCGGCATGTTTGATTACGGTGACGGACGAATGTGGGCGAACTGGACTGGAACAAAGGGGGGCTCGAGTCGGCAGTCGTGAGGTCACGCTCGAAATGGAAAGTGTGAGCTGTATGAAGAATTAGTATGATGAGAGCCTTGAGGCCGCGAGATTCCCGGTCAAGTTGGCTGATATGCGGACACGTCCTTGTTGGGATTGCTGTTGGCCAGACGATAGTTCAAGGCCGCGATGTTGAGGTTGTTGTTCCACCGAGTATCCGGAACCACATACGCGTTCCACCGGCGAACAACAACTGTTTTTATATCGATCAGGGTTTCTTCAGCGGAAAAAGGCCTGCCTTTGCGGTGGTATGCCATCTCGTCTGTGATGACTGCTGGCATTGCAGCCCATTCCGCGGGCGTCAGGTTGCGCCGCCGGCGACGCAAGTTTGCCCGTCTCCTCTGATGCCCCATCTCCACGAATACAGACTTGCTTCCTCTCGAGGATGCCCGTCTTACTCGCCGAACCGGCAAGGCCAGATCGCTGCACATGGCAAGCGGATTGGTGAGCTAGTCGTGGAACGCACGGATGAGGCTGTCACGAGTGTAGGCCGCCCTGTACTCCACGTGTTATGCCCCTTTGGGCGACGGTACGGTAAGCCTGTTGTGGACGGGTGATTGGTCGGCTGGCCGGTATTAGGGCTGAATGTTGAGTCTCGCGAGGCGTCCTTGGTCAAACGATGAGGGCCGCGAAAACACGCCATGCCGGTTGGAGAGGAAGACATGTAAGCCGGTGTGTCGTTCCGCAGCGTCGCCGCTTTGGGACTGCGGGGTGTAAGCCGGTCGCATCACACAGCCTTTTTTCTTTTTCTTTTTTTTTTCTTTTTCTTTCTTTTAGGCTGGCATACATACATCCGCATCACGTTTCCTCGATAGGATCGCGGAGTTGCCATCGTTAGTAACGGTAGGGGAGAGAGGATAGGTTTCACAAGATTTATATATCTGTTAGTTAATCACTAAGAGGGATATCCCATAGATCACGTAACAAATCGTAATATAGAATATAGTAGTTACTTATTATATTAGTTAGTTATAAAGTAAATCTAGACTTTTAGGTAGTATACTAGTAGTAAGGTAGATACTACTAAGGGAGGTAGTATATTATATAAATATTATATAACTACCTCCCCTAGAGCATACCTACTATATACTAACACTAGTAACTTTTCTTTTATAGTAAAAGTTACTAGTGCCCTAGCTATCTAGATTAGCCTTAAAAGGCCTAAAAACATAATAAAATTAAAACTCTAAAAGTATTATACTTCTTATAGTTATATACTATATATTCCTATATCTTTTATTTTTCTTATAGATAGTATAGGCTTATACTAACTTATTTAGGGGCGTTTCTTTTTAGCTATAGCTATTAAAGGTATATTCTTATATTAGTTAGATTTAACTACTACTATTATAGTCTAGTTAGTTATATAACTTATAATTTATTTTTTACTATATACCTATTATAATTTATTATATTTATATAACCTAACCCTCTATATATATCTTAGCTTTATTATTTATAACTAGGCCCTTAAGTGCTTAATTTAGGGATACCTTTATAAATCTATTAGCTAGATTATTAGATCTAGTAATCTATTAGACTTTATAAAGCTTATATTACTTATAAGACTATCTTAATAATATAATATTAATTATAAGACGTTTCTCCTTAGTAGTTCTTAGCTTAACTAGATATTTATAAAGTAAATATAAGTCTATATAGGTAATAGTTAAGATTAATAAGATATTAAGCTTCTAAGTAACTATTATAATAGTTATAAATAAGGCGTAAGCTATATTAACGCTTATAACTATTTTATACACTTTAGATACTAAGACGCTTTAGGTAACTTATTTAGACTTTATAAATAAGAAATAAAGGACGTTACTATAAAAAAAAAACTTAGCTTAGTTATTATTAACTTCTTTATTTATAAAAAGGATAATAAATCCTAACTATAAAGTTATATTATAATTATTAGTAAATAATCTATTTATAAATATAAATAGCTTAGCTAATATAAGATCTAAAGGAATAAATTATAAACTATAGTTAAGTAAGCTTATTTACTATTATAGTTAATAGTTAAGGTCTTTAATTACCTTATTATCTAGCTCCTTATATTAGGCTATAATAAAAAGATTATAATACGCTTTAGGCTAGTAAATAGAGGTAATATATACTCCTTATACCTATTACTAGATAAAATCTTAGTAGGCTATAAGTAACTTTATGTTAATTAATTATAGCTTTACCTCTTACCTTTTTTAGTAAAGTATAATAGAAGTGTTTATAGTAAATATAACTATAATAATCTTACTATTAAAAGTAAGTAGTTAGTTAATAGTAAGGAATAACTTATCCTTTATAGTAAATTTTACTTTAGTTAGTTCCTTATTCTTTTAGTTAAAAAATAAAAGGTCTATTAGGCTAATAGTATTATCTATTTACATACTAATAAGTATAAAGTATAGATTTTTACTAAATAATAAGAAAAAGCAGAAGTTATATATAGTAAAGACTATCTAGAGATTCTCCTTATAATAATAGTTATAAGTAGCCTACTAGTATATACCTACCTTAGTAATTCTATATAGAGGCTTAATAACCTTTATAATAGTATTATTAAGGTACTTATAATAGATTTAGGCTAGGAGTTTAGTGTAAATAGTATAGTTAAAGTAAGAAGCAGATTAGATATAAGCCTATATAATATTATATAGCTATATAACTTTACTATTAGTAAGAAGGAAAAAGGCTAGTATAAGAATAAGCTACTAGCTAGCCTACTAGATAGTAAGTAACTAAGTAAAAATAGCCTTTTTACTATTATTAGTATAGCCTTAAATAACTAGTTATAATTTCTTATAAAGCTTCTTATTAGTGCCTTTTACCTTATTTATAATTTATAATTTAAAAATTTACTTATAAGGTTAAAGTTAGTTAATTATAGTAAATTTAAAAACACCTTATATAATAAGGCTGTTAATCTTAGTAGTTACTAATTACTTAAATAGCTTACTAGGCGCTATAATAACGCCCTTTTTATATAGTTAGATTATAAGGGTTTAATAGGCTTCTTCTTTTACTAAGAGGAAGGTAGTATAAGGTACGTTAGTCTCTTATAGTAAAGTATATCTTATAAGGATTTTTCTAGCTTATTAAGGTTATATAATAGTAAGATTATTAGTATATAGCTACTACCTTAAACTAGTTATAATAATAATAGTATCTTTAGTAGGCTTATTACTATAACTACTATTATTATTTAGGATAAATAAAGGATATTACTTAGCTAAGCCTTTTTTTTTATTATCTACTATATAATATAGCTTAACTAATATAAATTAGAAAACGTAAGGGCTATTAATATTAATAGTAAAGTCTTTACCTTAAGTAGTAAGTAACTTATATAGGCTAACTAACCTTTTTTTTTATACTAAACGTAAACATTACTACCTAAAGGTAGATTTTTTATTATAAAGGTATCTAGGCTGTTACAGGCAGTAAAAGCCTTATTAATTTACTATATTATGTTATATTTATAAAGATTCTTAGTTACTTTTTAAATAGTAGTTATATATTAGATTATCTTAAGTAAAAAAGTAAAGTTAGTAGTTATTTAGGGGTAAGTACTAAATACTAGTAAGGTAAGTATAAGGCTATTTAGGCTAGTAGTATTATTAACTACTTTAGCTACACTTTAAAGTGTAGATTTATAGTTAATAGATAGGCACTCCCTATAAATTATCTTATATACTTATTAAAGTATAGTATAGTATCTCTTAACCTTCCTAACGCTATAATAAGCTTTAATAGGTATAATCTTAACCTTAACGCCTATTATATAGGCTTTATATAAAAATTTAGTTAAAATAAAGTTTTATCCTATATTAGTAATAATCTAATCTAGAGGCCCTTAGTAGATATTAATCTAGTAGTAATAAAGTGCCTCCTATATAGTTTTTACTAAAATATTATAAAGGAAGTAGGCTACGTTAAAGGTAGTAGTAGTATTAATAATATAAAGTATAAAGTTACTATTAAGGTATATAATATTAATAATAACTTTATAATTAAATAAATAGTTATTATATAAAGTAAATTAGAATTAAAAAAGAGCCTTTCTATAGATCTAGTAATAATAATAGTACTTTATTAAGTGTTTAATTACTTTTATTTTAACCTTATAGCTAGCCTTATAAAGGATCTTATATAGCTAGTAAATTAATAAATAGCTAAACTATTAATAAAAGTAGTATAGCTTAATATTAGTTAGGTAATAACTTATAAGGCTTTACTTAAGTAGGCTAAGTAGTATTTATAAGTAGCCTTATTTTTATATAACTAGTACTATAAGTTTACCTTATTAAAAAGTATTTATAAGGTTATTAAAATTAAATTAATAGCTAATTTATATTAGCTAAGTAAAGTAAGAAAGGTGTATTAGTAAGCATTATATAAAAAGTAATATACCTAAAAGGAGTCTTTACTATAATAGTGCCTTATAAAGTAATAGTATTACTATTACTAAATCTAATTTTTACTTTACCTATAGCTATAGTGTTAATAGTTATAGATAGTTAAATTTACTATAGTATAATAGCTTATAAGTAGCCTATAGTTAAATAACTTACTACGCCTATATCTAGTAAAATACCTTAAAAAGTAGCTAATAAGTAATAATCTAGTAGAAAGGTACTAAGTAACTTAGTAGAGGTACTATTAGGGTTAATTTTTATTAATTAGTAATAAATAGCTTAGTTAGTAAGGCTAGTAGTAAGTGCCTTACTATCTACCTTAGTACTTCTAAAAAACGTAGTTAAGGTATAAAATATACTATTATCTTATTCTTTATTATTACTAATAATAAAGTAGGCCCCTTAAAGATATTACTAAAGATCCTTATTATTATTACTATCTTTATTTTCTTCTTCCTATAGATAAGTGCCTTTATAGCTAGTAAAAA